AACTGGTGCATTTGATCCATCAAAAGGCTCAAGTAATGAATTAGTTACAGCAGAAACTGATGCGCTGAAAGAGAAAGCACTACAAAGATACACACAAGCAAAGGTAGACCATCAATTAACCCTTTGAACCCTTAAGAGTGACTGGCATCTAATTTCTCCTTACAATATCACTCCTGAATCAAAAATTAAGGTCAGGAGAATGAAGGAAATGATCACCTACTAAAGAAGCTCTTGATTGTTAAACAAATTCTCCTTGTCAGTACCTTAGGAATTGTATAGAGAACAGTATGGAGAATATGCATACTGATGTTAGGATGTCAAAGACTAACACAATTAAGTTGTGAGTGTTTTATCTCTCAGCCAACTGAAGTTTTTAGAAATTATGAAATCAANTATATTTCTAAACAGCAAGGGCTCATTAGAAATGATTAATGAAATATTTTGTTCATTCCTTACAAATGATTATGATCTTCTTCTTTAGCAGTCATTACATTTGAATTTTGTTTTACACAACAGGTGAATCACTTAGCACTGAATACAGACTATGCTTTAAGAACTGGTGCATTTGATCCATCAAAAGGCTCAAGTAATGAATTAGTTACAGCAGAAACTGATGCGCTGAAAGAGAAAGCACTACAAAGATACACACAAGCAAAGGTAGACCATCAATTAACCCTTTGACCCCTTAAGAGTGACTAGCATCTAATTTCTCCTTACAATATCACTCCTGAATCAAAAATTAAGGTCAGGAGAATGAAGGAAATGATCACCTACTAAAGAAGCTCTTGATTGTTAAACAAATTCTCCTTGTCAGTACCTTAGGAATTGTATAGAGAACAGTATGGAGAATATGCATACTGATGTAAGGGTGAGGAGGGTTAACCATCAGCTCACATTCAATTAATTTCCTAGGTGGCTATTATCTTAGCACTCAAGTTAGAGTTATCTTCATATGATCAAATATATATTTGTTCTATTCAGGGAGGAAGAAGAGAGCGATTGGTTTCAGGCTCTGATGACTTCACTCTATTTCTTTGGGATCCAGAGGAAAGCAAAAAACCTCTAGCGCGCATGACAGGTCAGATAAGTGGTTACACCTGTGTACAGATCAGAGATGTGTGAAACTTTAACAGGACAGAGGAAAGGGCATAACCTTATTACCTAGTCTTTATTTTCAATGGCTTCCAAGGGCCTATGTGTTGACTCTGGCACACCATGAAAGTGTTACAACAAGGATATCGTATAGGGGTCAAGGGAGCTGTCTTGTTCAAGTCTTAGCTGGGTCATTGTGTTGTGCTTTAAGGCTAAGCACTTTACTCTTGAAGTGCCCCTCTCCACTCAGTAGTAGAAATGGATACCAGTGAATTGTCAGGAAAGCCTGATGAAATGCTTGGGGCGGGGGGTAACCTTGGGATGGATCCAGGTGGAGTGGATAAACTCCTAGTTGGTTCATGCTACAGAATTGGAAATGACCTCCACTTACTGAGCCCCATGGAACAAAAGCAGACTTCAGCTTTGGTTGTTTTGGAAGGACTTAATAAATAGTCTGCCCATTGATTCTGAAAGTTATAAACACAAACAGTGCAGTAACTATAATATCAACTCTTACTTTCTAGAAGCATCAACCATAGTTGTCTTGTGACACTTATCATGTCCCAGTACCCAAAGTTTTTTTTCCCCCTTTTTTTTTTGTAGGGCATCAAGCCCTCATAAACCAAGTCAGCTTTTCACCTGATGGTCGCACCATAGCCAGTGCCTCATTTGATAAGTCAGTTAAAATCTGGAGTGGTGACAGTGGAAAGTAGGTGGATTTTCCTTCAGATTTTACTAAAATCAGAATACTTACTCCCTTGAGTGACCAAAACAGAATTTCTCCTCACAGTATCAAATACAATATCAAGCAGACAGGTGATGGAAATGAAGAATAATATTTATAAGTGGATTATTAGTTGATCTAATACCAAATTCTCCAAACTGACATTGAAGAATTGTTTGGCAGACTGTAAGGAGAACTTCATATGTGATCATGGGAGTTGTAGGGTTAACCATAGTCAAGGCTTTATTCCAAACTCTTCAATGTGCTGGCTGGGCACCATGCCTGCTTTTCAACGTGAAGGGTGGAGGGGTTGTGGAGATGATTGGGGGGTAGGTGACAGTGATGCCTGCTATTTCATGGATATGGAAATTGACTTTATTTTGCCATTAGGTACATCACATCTCTTCGCGGACATGTGAACTCTGTATATCAGGTAAGAAGTTCTTCATTGTTTTTTACTGTGCACATTTCTAGAGCCTGGTTTATTTTATTCTAATTTCCTTATTCTCCTTTTTGTATTAATTTGGTTTGGTGTCAGTCTCAAGAAGATCATTCAGTATCTTTTCTGGTCTCCATAATAATACTTTTCTTTCCACTGGGATTTCCTTAAGATAAAAAGACAAACTTTCAAATGATAGTTTTCCAGGGTATGTTATTCCTAACAATGTTCAAATTTTTGTAGATTGCTTGGTCTGCGGACAGCCGACTGATTTGCAGTGGAAGTGCGGACAGCACCCTTAAGTTAAGTGCTCAGCGAGCCAATAACGTTAGGATTGTGGTGGAGTGTAGGTTTAAAGTTTCAACCTCGGTCCCAGGGTTCTCTCCTACACGTTTCCTTCACGTTTCGAGGGAAGAAGAGGAGAGAAAGAATGGGAATGGGATTGTTTGTAAAACAGCCAATGAAGCATGCAGCGCACGGATGTGAAAAGAAATGCTTGTTGTGTAAAGAAATCGGCTTTAAACGGTTACCAAGGGCGTCGACTGGGTATTTCAGTTCAAGATCCTAGACAAGTGTCTTTCTGTTACTGGGGAGGGAGGGAACAGGGGGTGGGGACGAAGTTTGTCACGTTTCTCGACAAAGGAGGGGGTGGGTCGTTTCCAACTCCACCCCCCTCGAATTCGGTTACAGAAAATCGTTCAAATAAGTCGCCGCGTCTCAAGAGAGGAAATGCAATAAATGAAGAATCGCTAAGAACGCAATCTTTTAATTCAACAGGTGTGGGATTTGAAAACGAAGAAAATTATGGAGGATCTTCCTGGTCACGCAGACGAGGTATATGGTACATAATTCATTACACAACCACTTTACTCTCTAGCTCCCCGAAGTGATTAACTTGTAACTTCTTCCTCTGATATCCGTACATTATCCAGCAAACAGGTAATGCGAATACTCAAACTTATAAGGAAGAAGTCATTATCTTGATCTAACACCAAATTCCCTTACCTGATTTACAAGGAAATGTGCTTCAGCTAGAAGGGAGAAATAACAATCAGACATCTCGGGAGATAAAGGGTTAAGAGCCTTTGATAATGCTGTATTTTATTGGCTGATGACTTCGCGCCTCGCGTCTTGATTATTTTGAACGCAAATGCACGGCTGGCGTCTTGAAAAAAAAAAAAGGAGATTTCTTTGTTTCATTCAATGTGTCGCTCAGTCTTTTAAAATTATACATTTTCTAGCCACCCTATGCAGTACAATGAAATACCCAAGTTGGTGTAGTCCGAGAGTGAGAGCCTAAAGGGAAGATTAGTCGCGTTTCTAATCAAACTAAACGCTGCATTCACTTGTTTTGCTGAATGGGAGATCTGACGCCATTGACGACGATAAACACATAGAGTGATGCGCGTAACTCTTTAGAAGTAATGAAAGTTCATTTTTTAATGGAATTCTTTCGCAGGCGTCACCGTCGTGGCATCTTATACTCCCAAGGAAGAGTGCCGAACGTTTACGGCGGTGTCAAATAACCAGAAATTAACTGTCGTTTAGATCCATTTTACTGCAGTCCTCACTCAACACAGCAGATAAATTGAAAAATATTTTTGTTCAGAGTGAATTAAGACCTTTTTTTTTCTACCTTGTTGAACAAACAGCCAAAGAAAGACGGCAAAAGCTTCGGTTTTTTTCCATTATTCCCTTCCCTACTGACAGGTTTACAGTGTCGACTGGAGCCCAGATGGTACCAGAGTTGCTAGCGGAGGAAAAGACAAAGTCCTTAAAATGTAAGGGATTTTTCAACGTGCGTTAATTTCGATATAGTGGTACAAAAGTGTATCAACGCATTTGCTCGTGATGTGTATAGTTATTTTGGATTTTGGCGCTCGCGAATTTTAGGGGAAGATAAAATTATCTTTCTGAACAAGAACTGATTTGACTCTCAGAGTTTATAAACGTTTAATTTCCCTCAATGATTTCAACACATCCATTGAGAATTGATAAACAATTGGGGGTATTCTTTCGATGTAACAACTTCTCTTCACGTACTTGTAAAGAATTTTATAGCAGGAAAAAGGGAAAATTGCGAATCAGACCTTAAGATATTTTGAAAGGAGTCATGTCGTTGCTACTGTATTCCTTCGCATTCTGTCTCGTTCGGGACTTCGTTAGCTGGGATATCTGCGCAGTATTTGGTTTTATTGAGTTGAGAATGTTAATTGTCTAATATTTCGAGTGTGAGCTCTATTCCCTCTGATGGAGGGCCAACGCTCGAAATATTAGCTTTAGAATCTGTTTACGGTAGTCAATTCACATTATCAACTCAGTTGATAAAACCAAATTACTTTGTAATACTTTCCACTGACGCAGCATCAGAGTTTCTTTAGAAACTTACCCCCTTTATTTATTCTACAGATATTTTATCAAGGAAAGAACACCCCACTGAAACAAAACTCCCTCCCTTCTCCCTGAGGCCCTGAGGAAAATTGAGTTTTGTAGAATAGCGTCGGATTAGCTCATATGAGCATTATCCTAAAAGTTTGCAGAATCGCCAAGTATCTGTGCTCTTTTCCTGTAGGTGGAGATCGTAAAAGACAACGAAACGGATCGGTTCACACCCATAACTTGGGAACGTAGCACATATGCACCCCAAGAGACGATCCATGAGAAGAAGAAGGACGAGAGACTGGGCACTAGGTTGACGGCGAAGCTTGCTTTGAGAAATTGAATGAGTGTCACACGTGGGTATGGTTTGATGCTACTCTGGTTTAAAGATTTAATGTATGTAATCGGAGAAATTACAATACATCGACCCAACGTTTCGACGTTCCTGTCTGGTACCTTCAATAGGGGTGATCTGATCCTTGCAACAAGAGGCCCTTTTATATGTTCACCAATTAGCTGCCCTTTTTTCTGACGAGGTGTAAATAAAAAAGTAAAAATGATTGAACAATAAATATAAAATAAATTAAACCCTTAATCCAAAATCCTTCACAATGGCTTCGAGAAAACTCGCACTAAATGTTACAGTGTTTAACGCAACATTAAGAACTCGGTTGCCCCGTAGCACCGTTTGAAGATGGCGCCACCGTGCATGCGCGAAAACTTAAATTTCTTGTATGGGAACCCAGGCGACGGCGGCGTGTCGCGGACCAGCCGTTTTCCATTCCTTCAACAACTAGGTCCTGACATTTTTCAGCAGTTACAATTGTCGGAAACTGCTAATTCTCTCTTTCTTTCTTCGCCTTCAATAGTTCATTATATCACATAATACATACTACATGATAAACAAGATACGGCAGGAGATCTAGCAAGCTCTACTGAGCTTTTTAAAGATCCCCATTTAATTATAGTATTACTTAAAATAGTTTACTAATAATAGACGGCGGATATTAATATCTTTCTTATCGATCAGAGATTTGCAAATACATAATTATTTTATATTCTCAACATGCTGATAGAAACTCAAATACATCTAATAAAAATCATTTTTGGAACATATAGTTTTAACGATTTTTTGAAAAGATTGTAAATATTTATGTTTCTAATCTCACTCGGTAGAATTCACCTTTCGTTTTGTTGGTCTGTGTGTTTGTTCGGCACGAAGATGGTTTGTGTTTGGATTCCTTTGTGGAGTTGAAAACTAAAAACGCGACGATGCTCAAGGCGACACCGTAAAAGCTTCGATGGTTTAAAGCAATGATATTAATCGACCGTGAAGGATTCGTTCAATAAATTTTGCCCGATAACGTGGAGTGAAGCTGCAGGAAGATGGTTTTTGGCTTAATCTCCTCGAGGAATTGAAAGCTGGAAGCACACACTAGCGGTGGAAATGGCCATTGGTACCGTAAAAACGCGATTCTACGGAAAGACTATTTCCCGACTGCTACCCACTGCTCACGCGTAACTAACTCGTAACTCGTGTCTAAGCCTTTGCTGTTAACAAAATTTTCTCTGCTTTAGTGTTGTCCAAAACGAGTACACCGTCCAGAGAAGACAAAATCTCTCCCTTTATTTTATTCCTCGAGCTATCATTTCTGTTCGTTTTTATAAAATTCGCTAACGGTTCCAATTAACTTCAATGCGCCGAATACACCAATTCCCATTCTTTTTTTTTTATTCACCTGCCTTTTCTTTCACTAACCACCCGTGAGCCGCCTAACGGGGGCCTGTGATTAATTTGATAGTTTTGAGTTAATCTTATCGCACGTTTCGATTAAAAGAACATAAAGGGTAGTTAACAACTGGATGTACTGTCTTTCGTGCAATTTCTAATATTTCCTTAAAAATGATTTTAACCGGTGTACGTCTTTAAGTCCAATTTACACCCAGACCTCAGTCCGCAGTCCGTAGTCCGGTTCCATAAAGAACGTCTAAATGTCAATCACCGCTGCCTACAACAGTCCTCAGAACTAAAGACATCCGGACGATCAGACTACTTAATGAAATCAAATTCCTTTGTGCATAAGTTACACTAACTGAGCTTAAGGAATGAAGCGGTATGAATACGGTCTACTTGCTGCATTGCCACCTGTATTTTTCTTGATTGTTTGTTTTATTGTCATTTTGTGGAAATTTCGCGATCTGAAGCTCCTTGCGAGCTCGATTGCCAAAATGGCGTTTTCCGATATTCTCAAGGTAAAGAAGAAGAAGGAAGACGGAAAGCCAAAATGGCTTTTTAAAGACATCGATCTTACATGTGAGAAGGGAATATTATTCACGATTTTGGCCACTTCCTTGATGTTGTTTACGGGGATGCTTACTGGCACGCTTGTAATGTTCTGGCAACTCCTGCTGGTCGAAGTGAGTAGCGACTGCGATGTAGAAGACCCTTCCAAAGACTGCTTTGAGGTCAAATTCTGGGGTTGGCCGAAGCAAGATCCCGTCAACTGTAGCAGCGCTTCCATTCAAGACGGAACCACACAAGTCTTGTGCTACAAAATTGTTTTCAATTTTGGAGTAGCCACTGGTGCAAGCTATGGAGCATTCAAGCTGTCTATGTTGGCTTACAGCTTGGGTTCAAGCGTATTATTGATGATTAACCATGAGAAATGTAAGATCCTGCTTGCATTGCAAATTTTATTCACGGTACTGGGTGTTCTTGCCGTGGCAGTTCCGATTGTTTTGATGGCCACCCCTTTCGGTGTTGTCTTTCTCTCAACCTACCTACCTACTATCTTTCAGACAATAACAGTCACATTCAATTTAGTCGTCTTCCTATGGGGCATCCCTTGGAAAAAGCTGATCGCATTGAAAGCTTCGCAGGCCAACCTATACAATACTGGCTTAGAAAACCCCGCTGCCGCTACCGACGACAATTACAGGCCTGAGTCCATGGAAATATGTTGAATAAACACTTGATTTTGAAACAATACTGTGTTGGTAATGACTAGAATTTGTAACTTTCGGTAGGCAGGTATGTACAGAAGCTTAAACATTATAGTGAATGACCGTTCGCTCCACGCGTTGGTTTTCCTCTTATACTTTTGCTCTTCATAGTAAATAAATAGTCTGCCTGAAGATTATCAGCGGAGCGGGTAAGGAATAGAACAGATCAGCGCCGCGATAAGATTAGTAAAGCGTACTTTAAGCACAATCGCCCACTGTCGGGCGAGGAAGTGAAATCTTAGTTTGGTTTTTAAGTCGCCATGCAAACCGAATTAGAACTTGTTTGTTACATTGGTGAATAAATCATATTTAATCAAAGACTTGATGTACACCCCTTTTGGTGTTACCTTTCTTTCAAGTAACTTTGGTGTTTTCCTTCTGGGAATAATAGTCTGATTAATTCTTTACAACTTCCTACACTGCATTCCTTGGAGTGAACTGATCGAATTGAAAGCCCCGGAGAACAACCAGAACGAAATTGCCTCAGAAAACCCTGCAGCCGAAAAATACCCGGATTGAAAGTGCCCGTCCGCGCAAAATACCCGGATGGATAGTACTCATCCGTGAAAAATTTTGAATGGTTTGACGGCCGCGAAGTAGGTAGATCGGAAAAACAGTGACTTTTCAGTTCTGACAGGTATAACGTATTATTTAGCCATTGTACGGTTGCGAATTATTGACATTTGTGACAGGCTGTACGCATGAATAAATATTTGATTGATCTGCATTTAGTGGGTTTTGATCGTTTTTCAACTGGAGCGTGGAAGAAAATTTAATGGTGAATAATGAAGACATTAGAGTGTTTATGTCTCGGAACTATCGGTCTGATAGTTGCCCCTTGGAAATTTGATGTTCTTAAAACTAGTATATTAAATTTCCGCGGGGCAACTATCAGCCGATTGTTCCTCGACAGAAACAGTCTATTGTTTAATTAGAGGCCTGATTTCCTGGTAAGATGCCGAATAAGCACACAAAACAGCTTTTGAAACAATACTGTGTTGTTAATGACTAGAATTCGTATTTTTTTCTGTAGGCACGCATATACAGTATCTTGAACAGTAGCGAATGGCCCTTCGCTCGACATATTGGGTTTTTTTTTGCTCATCTGTCCTCGTATAAAGTACGTTGTGGCTAAATGACCGGCAGCCGGTCAAGACTAACGACTAAATGCAGGAATTGCACCGACCTGTGATTGGGAGATATAAATAGCATTTCAATTCCAGTTAATATTTAACAGCTACTGTAAACAAAGCCAAATAAAATACTGGTATAGTATTAATAGAAAGATCCCAAACGACAATAAGCATCTCATCAAAAAGCTACGCTTGTGCGTCGCAACGAGTTTGTAAAAAGATTATAGACAGCGTCGAATTTCGCAGAGATCATTTCGAAGCTTTACGCACAAGACAAGAGAATAACACTGAATCATGTGTCATATCATAACAATAGCCCATTTCCGAATTGCCTTTAGCCTCTTCTTCAAAGCGAGTCCTGGTGCTCATCCTTTCGTATGGTAATAAGTGTTAATTCACATTCAAATTAAACTTGTTTTCATACGTATGGTTGAGCACCATGCCTCGTTTTGAAAAAGAGACCAAACCTAATTCGGAAATGGCCTAAAATTTCCTCTACTTCCTGACTTACATTTCGAATGCTCAATGGAAGCAATAAAATGTACAGAAAATAGTCGTTCATAGGATTTCAAACGGGGGTTCAAGACACATCAAGAACACAAGACATGTTGTTCGGAGAGATTGATGTACACTGGTGCGATTCCCGTAGGTACGTCATGTATGGGGAATTATCATGCCCCCAATACATATAGTGTCCTATACTTTTCACAGATATAATATCCTAACATTACATGCAACATATACACCTATAGAGAGCTTTACACAGCTATAGCTATACACAGCTAAACACGGCTACATACAGCTATATAGGGCTATACACAGCTATACACGTAGGGCTATACAGGGTTAAACACAACGGCTATACACAGCTACATAGGGCAATATACAGCTATACAGGGCTAAATTCAGCTATACACGGCTATAAACAGGTAAATAGGGCTATACTCAGCTATACAGGATCAAACACAGCTATATACGGCTATATACAGCCATATAGGGCTATACGCAGCTATACAGGGCTAAACAGCTTTACACGGCAAAAAACAGCTATATAGGGCTATACGCAGCTATATAGGGCTAGACACAGCCATACACAGCTATACACAGCTATATAGGGCTATACGCAGCTATACAGGGCTAGACACAGCCATACACGGCTATACACAGCTATATAGGGCTATACACAGCTATACACGGCTATTCAGTCTTAGCTATATAGGGCTATACGCAGCTTACAGGACTAAGCACAACTATATACGGCTATAAACAGCTATACATGGCTATACACAGCTATACAGGACTACGCACAGCTAAACAGGACTATACGCAGCTATACAGGGCCATACACGGCTATACGCAGCTATACACAGCTATACAGGGTTATACTCAGCCATACAATGCTATACACAGCTATACAAGACTATACACAGCTATACACAGCTATAAATGGCTTAACACAGCTATACACGGCTCTACACAGCTATACAGCCATACACATCTATATACAGGCAGCTATACATGACTACACACAGCTATTTAACAATTATTCCACGAGCGCGCGTTGGATATGAGATGATAGATAGCCAACTCGGCGCTACGCGCCTCGTTGGCCATAATC